GGGGGGGGGGGGGGAGAAGAAAATGAAATCCAAAGTGCTGCGCCTCAGGGGAAAAAGAGAGGAGACCCCCAATACTAAACCCTGGAGACAAAAACCTGAGCCCTAATTCCTGAGGAGGCCTCCAACGGACGACAAAAAGGTAACACACTGGTAAAAGACTCACCATAACCTGCTGCTACCCTTTTGTGCAACTCCTTCAGATCCTGAGGCACAGGAAAAAACAAAAAAAACAGCAGCCACCATTGAAAGTGTTATGGCCACCTTGTCGTGCGCAGAAAGACTAGAAAAACATCACAATCGATTATCGAGCAAGCAGATACCGCGGACAATTTTCAAATATGTTCCATGCATCTTGGGTGCGATCATGGCCTCGGTTAGAATTCAAGGTACGGTTTACGTTAGGGTGTATATTGCCTAGTCTAGGGTCTAGGGTCTAGGTTGGAGTCTAGTTTAGGGTTTTGGCTAACATTTAGGCGAGGGTTTAGGTGAGAATCTAAGTGAGAGTTCAGGTGAGGGTTCAGGTGAGGGTTCAGGTGAGGGTTCAGGTGAGGGTTCAGGTGAGGGCAAACATGAGGGTAATCGTGATGGTAAACGTGAGCGTAAACATGAGGGTAAACATGAGGGTTAACTGAGGGTTAACGTGAGGGTTAATGCGAGGGCTAAGGTGACGGTTAGGTGAAAAACAAGGTGGGCGTTAAACACCCAGTACTTCTGGGAAGATCGCCTGCGCTTGCACCAGCCTTTGCTCCAGTACTGCGACAGTTCGTCATCCCGCACATCCAGCACACTGCCGCAACGTGCACGACTGACTTCCTGGTGGTTTAAGGTGAGGGCCAAGGCTTCAAATCAGAGTTCCGGTGAGGGTTTAGGTGAAGGTTTAAGTGAGGGAGGTTTGGATTAGGGTTTAGGCCAGAGTTTATGTTTGGGTTTATGTTAGGGTTTAGGTTAGGGTTTAGGTCAGGGTTTAGGCTGGGGTCCAACGCAACTGAACGCTACACTGCAATGCGGCAGAATGAAAACCCACGAATTTGTACTCAGAAGCAGACGAAGCAGGCAGGTGGCGGTTTGTGTGGGGAAGGAGAAGAGAACGCTTTCATCTCATAGGAAGCAACTGAAAATCAGGGCCGAGAGCAACAGGCTGCCGCTTCTCGTCCATGCCCGTTTAGGAAATACTGTGGAGAGCACTACAATAGTAGGCAGTCGGGTCTGAAAAAAAAAGTGGCAACAACAAGAGGGCAAGGGCCAAGAGCCATGTGTGCCAGTGAAGCCATAAGATCGCGCCACCACAATGTCAAGCAGTGCTGAAATTGTCATCTAGTGTATCTGTTAGGCTTGCCTGTGGAGTAGGAACCGGCCTACTGCACCCGGAATGGAGGGGCCATAACTATAAGGTTGCATTCTTTTTTATTTTTATATACCGGCCACGAAGCAGTCCACAACCTAACAGACAGACTCCAATCGGACTTCCCCAACAAATTCGAGGATTGCTGCTTCCATATCTCTTAATCCTTTCTTGGTTCTAGGCAGTGTTGCATAGCCCGACGGTCGGTGCCCCTTGACTGGTCGGATGCCGCCCAGCCGACCGGTCAGCTGGTCGGCACCTACAGGTCGGGGGTCGTCAGCACCCTGGAAAAAAAAGAACAAAAACAAAGGTGGGTCCAGAACCCCCAGTAACCTCACCAACACCCCCATAACTGCCCCCTATACCGCCATACACCCCCTCAAAACCCCCAAACCGCCCCCCAACACCCTCATACCCCCCCCCAAATACCCCCTATACCCCAT